TGTATAGACAGGTGTGTGGCTTTCCTAATCACGTCCAATCAGTATAATCAAACACCGCTGGACTCAAATGAAGGTGTAGAACCATCTCAGGGATGATCAGATGAAATGGACAGAGCCTAAGTTAAATATATGAGTGTCACAGCGAAGGGTCTGAATACTTATGACCATGTGATATTTCAGTTTTTCTTTTTTAATAAATCTGCAAAAATGTCAAAAATTCTGTGTTTTTCTGTCAATATGGGGTGCTGTGTGTACATTAATGAGGAAAAAAATGAACTTAAATGATTTTAGCATATGGCTGCAATATAACAAAGAGTGAAAAATTTAAGGGGGTCTGAATACTTTCCGTACCCACTGTATGTACACCTCATTCTTTGAGCTTTAGGTCATGTCTAAGATGATTATTCACCATTGTAACATTGTAAATAAGTCAGAAAACAAGGAAAAGCATGTCATGGCTCATACATGATACCAAGTTAGCCAACAACATTGTCCCTCTACTTCCTTTGGTGTTATGTGACCTCCTCACTTCTCCATTACCTGTACAACTTGTGTCCTCCCTCAGGCAGTGATACATTGTATCAGGTAGTTACTCAGTAGTACTTCATTACTTCATGATTAACTCATTACATATATTTGTGTCCCCTCAAACAGTGAGGCATTGTACTGAGTAGTTATTCAGCAGTACTTCTCCTTGAATCCAAATGTTATTAGGCTATTTTTGTCTAGACCCCTCCACAGCTGCATCCTGTGACCTGTGTTACCATTTGTTGGTCTGCCATGTTCTGGTAGGTTGCCAGGTTTGAGTGCATTGTACTAGAAATCACCCAGATGTGTTTAAAAAACAAAACATAGCTTCTCAATATTTAGAAAAATGCAAATATTTAATTAAAAAAGTGAAGCAATTTCAAGTCATCTGTCCCAGGTCTAAGTCAAGTCTCAAGTCATGAATTCTAAGCCAAAGTCTTTTACCAGTGCTAGTCAAGCAATTCTCCAGTCCTTAAATTTGCAGCTTAAGTCTGACTTGAGTCCCTCACCCCTGATAAAGCCTATATATGTTTTAAAATATTAAGTATTTTTCCTATTATTATAAATATGTAATAAACATTATACATTCAGTTTGCTCTTACAACCTTTCCACAGAGGTGCAGAATTAAGCTAAATCTTTAAGCTTTAAAAATGCTATGAACTGTGTTTGTTACATATAGCTGTAAAGTGTAAGCATCTCCAGCGATAGAGTAACTTCCATGGAAATGAATAATTTTATACTGTATATGTGGTGTTTTGATTAAAATACTTGTTCAGAATCTTCCTGCTGTGATTTGCTATTATGGAAACAGTAACTGTGGGGATAATAATGTAGTAAAGTAGTAAATACTCTATAATTCTCTGTATTTGTTGGGGAAATAAATGATGAGTAATAATGAGGCAATCATGAAGGGAAGAAGCACTACCGCATAACTACTTCGTAAAATGTCTCACTTTACTTGAGGGGGTACATAAATGTGAGGTAATGAAGTACTACTAAGTAACCACTAACAGAATGGACCACTGAGGAGGACAAAAGCTGTACAGGTAATAGAAAAGTGAGGGGGTCACATAATAGCAGAAAAGTAGAGGGACTACTTTGTAGGCTAAGTAATCAGTATCATGTACGAGTGCTTAAGGGTTCACAAGAGTAACATGTCTAAGTAATGAGAAATGAATGAACCTACAGGCAGATAGTCAAGAATGGTAAATGATAAATGGCCTTATACTTGTATAGCGCTTTTCTATGCCTTGCAGCAAACTCAAAGTGCTTTCACACTATTTGGCCATTCACCCATTCGCAGTCCCAAGCACTCACACACCAGTGACATCACTGGGAGCAACTGGGGGACATTTCAACATGTGGACTGGAGAAGCCTGGGAACCAAACCGCTAATCTTTCGGTTAAGAGACGACCCGCTCTACCTCCTCAGCCACAGCCAAGTAATGAACAGAGTGATCTACTCAATGGAGGAAGAGGCTGTGACCGTCTGGTAGTGAGTGTGGGGAGCAGTTACCTTGCTGCCAGCTTGCCTAACCCTGGCAATGAGTTTAAGTCAGTCTTGCACCAGGATTATTATTACAACACTGGATTACAGCCATCCTGGGACTATTCATCAACTTTCAATGCCATGAAACCAAACAGCCAGTCATTTAACCAGGCATTCAATCTGGAAACTGCTGCTCTGTCTGGAACAGGAAGTGACCTTGGTTAGCTGAGCAAGTTTTTTTTAGCTGGTTTCTCATACAGGAGGTACTACTCAGAGTATTTTATGGGGCCCCTGGTTGAATTGTATGACCGATTGAGTTTATAAACACCATATAAAAAGCAAGAATAGTGTTAATAGTGCAAATAACTGACTTTGAAGATTTTTTTGGGTTGGTGAAAAAGAACAGTGATTTTGAGGTTGATAATTCATTGACTGTGAATACACGGTGGTGAATCTATTTCTTGAGTATGTTGTATTTTTTGTTTGTGACAACAAATGTGTGCACAGATTTGGCTTTGGGGTTAAAAGGAACTTGGATGACTGCAAGCCACCTTTGTAGGGTTTCACAAATGTAATTAAATTTTGTCAAATGTAGTGCTGACTGGCACCTAGGCGTTAAAGTTCAGAAACCGATACACACTTGAAGCAAATGAAAGTCACTTTCAGCTTTTCCCGTTTAGGGGTCACCACAGCCAATCGTCACTCGCATGTTGACATTTGGCATGTGTTTTACGCCAGATGCCCTTCCTGATGCAACCTGGATTCGAACCCGGGGCGCTGCGGTGAGAGCGCTGAACCTTAACCACTAGCCTACCAGGGATGGCATAAAGAAAGTCACTTCCGGCTTTTCCCGTTTAGGGGTCGCCACAGCGAATAGTCACACTGACGACTCACATGCTGACATTTGGCACATGTTTTACGCCGGATGCCCTTCCTGATGCAACCTGGATTTGAACCTGGGGTGCTGCGGCTGTGAGCGCTGCACCTTAACCACTAGCCTACCAGGGACGGCCAGGCAAATGTTCTGATTAATTAGACTGCTAGCCTAATTGTAGACAAAGGTCTAGCCCATTATAAGTGAATAGTTAAATGTAAAAATTCAGATGAGTAAGAGAGCACATACTGTAAGGGGTAGACCATACTGAGCAGAGATGTTGGAAAGGAAGACATTACATTTAAAGAGCCTTTAAGATGTGAAAGTTGGATTCCAAAAGGTTAAATGCAGCATAGATATTTACAATAAAATGTCCCAGTTTTAATTTGGATAACCTTTAATATTTTTCAGTGCACCATTGAAATGAACAAAGAATGAAGTTGTTGAGGCGTCACATCGAATAATGTGCTGCTGTATTGTTTTCAACCTAATACAGGACACAGATGATTTACACATCACTATTTTCAGTTTAAATTTTGAGTTTACATACCATCCCAACCTTTTCTGATTTGGGGTTTTTAGACTCTTTTGGTATTAATATATTTATTTTTTTGTTATTTGTCTGACAGTGTTGGCAAAAATCTTGTATCCTAATGCACTGAAAAGGCTGCAATTTTTACAAAAATGTTACAGCTAGGAGGTTGTTCCAAAACAGGGTTTGATTACTTAATCTTTTCTGTTAAAAATATACATATCAGTACAATATCCTTTGTACTGATGAGACCAACGTAGCAGTTTGGTCAGCATGCACAGTGCCATGTTTGGTAAAGACCAAACAATGTATCACTATAAACACCTCATACCAATTCTCAAGAATAGTGATGGAGGAGCGATGATCTGGGCTGGGTTTGCAGCCACAGGAGCTGGGAAACTTCCAGACCCTGACACATCACAAGTTCCATGTTGCACAACACAATTATTATGAATGTGTTATGCCCTGAGGCAGGGAGGTGGGTGGTCCCAAGTTGTAACACTCGAATTCGAAACACTGGGAGATGGAAACCCTAGGCAGACACAGCAGGTCTCGCCAGTAACAGGAAAGGAGTTGTCTGGGCAACCAGGAAGGGAGCTGGTAGCAACCTGAGAAGTGGTGCCAGAGGCTGGCTTGCTCCGAAGACCACTAGAGGAAAAAAATCAAGGCCACCGTGAGAGGAGGAGTAATGGATGCCTCGGATGAGGTCCTAAGAGGGAGCGAAGGCTGGTGACGGTTGTGTCAGCACACTAGAAGAAGAAGAAGCTTTATTTATTGTCACTGTAACACTGTGACATGTACAACGAAATTATGTATGGAAGTGAGGGCCCCAGGCTGCTGCGTGCATACCCGCCGCCATCATGTTCAGTGTCTTGCCCAAGTACACTTCGACATGTGGACTGCAGGTACCGAGATTCGAACCTTCAACCTTCTGGTTAGGAGACGACTCCTCTACCCACTGCAATGGAAAGGTGGTCTGAAGAGCTGGCTAACTTGCAGTGAGGACGGTGAGTTCACCAACTAGGCTGAGCAGGAAAAACGAGGAGCCAGGGTCTGTTTGGCGAGGAACATACAACAATCTGGGGACCAGAACACACCAATGCCCGGCTTATGTGGAGCCGGGCAGATGGAAGTCAGCTGTGCTGGGCGTGTCTTGTCACCTGGATCGCCTGCTGGCACATGAGGGGGTGGAGGTGCCGGCTGCAGATGTGACAGAATGTGGAGTGGCTAATAATGGTGCAGTCTTGCAGATGTGACAGAATGTGGAGTGGCTAATAATGGTGCAGTCTGTGCTGACAGCTGTCAGTGGTGTTATAATTAAGCTATACCTATGATAGACACTTTGGTGGTCAGTTTAAGTGACCTATGTGCTTGTGTAACTGATGAGAGTATTTGTTAATGAGTTTTTTTTTTTTTAAGTCGTGCCCCCCGCCCCACACACACACACACTTTAACTGAACAAGTTATTTTGATGATTACTTTCACTTCAGAGCTTGTTTTTCACAAATGTGAAGATTTTTCTGAAAAGCATTAGCTTAGTGTGGATGAATGCCTAAAAGGGGGAGAAGATGCATTTTCTAATTTATTAACTGTGCGTAAATGGTTAACATATCCCTGTAACTTTAGGAAGACAATGACTCAAATAACTTATTAATGAAGTCATCTGGAATGGCAAATAAAGCATTCTTGCAGGACTCCCAGAGTTCATCAAGATTCTTTGGTTTCATCTTTAATGCCTCCTCCTTCATCTTACCCCAGACATGCTCAATAATGTTCATGTCTGGTGAGTGGGCTGGCCAATCCTGGAGCACCTTGACCTTCTTTGCTCTCAGGAACTTTGATGTGGAGGCTGAAGTATAAGAAGGAGCACCATCCTGCTGAAGAATTTGCCCTCTCTTGTGGTTTGGAATGTAATGGGCAGCAAGAATGTCTTGATACTTCAGGCTGTTGATGTTGCCATCCACTCTGCAGATCTCTCGCACACCCCCATACTGAATGTAACCCCAATCAACCTTCTGCCACTTTTCCACTGCCCATCCTTCCTGCAAGCTGTGGGCCTTGGCAAATGCAACACGATTTTTTTAGTTGTCTTTTGTTTAAATGCTGGTTTCTAATTCGGCCACTGAGACCACTGTTCTTGTAGATACAGGGGTTTCTGGTGACCAGTTTTTATGTAGCTCTGCTGCAGTTGAAAAAGGGCTGGCCCGGACTGTCGAAGCAACAAACAGTCCTCTCGAACAGGCCTGACCTGGGCCTGCCATGAACTTCACCAGTTTCTTCAAATCCTTTTCTTATCCTCTCCACTTGATGTTTAGATACATTAAAGATGTCTGCCACCTCAGCAGGAGACTTGGTCTTCAGGCTGTTGATGATCAGCACTTTGGTCTGTGGTTGAATCTTTGGCATGCTGTCAAGAGGTCAGGTTGCATTTCAAATGAAGGTTGGGTGTGCTGGGGTTCTTCTTATACACACCTTGGAATGTGTTAATTACAGTATTTGTCACAGGTGACACTAATCTGTGATTGGTTGAATCCTCTAAAGAATACGGCAAGACTTTTGTCCTTGCAGAAACAGATGTTATGGGCTTTAAAAAGCTGTGAACATCAGGACACTTTTTGATGGTTTCATTTTGCACCCAGCTATTAATGTGAATGCCCTTGACATTAAAATCAACAATTTATTGTGACAACTGAATGATTAGAAATAAAGTTGTATGACATTTTAGGTTACTATAGGACAAGACTTTTGTCAGGGAGTGTATGTATATACCATGAATGACTCACCTCTATGCTGTAGGTATCCCGTGGACAGGTATTGCTTCATGTCTTGGTTAAAGGCTTCTTCATAGACTTTTTGTCGTTCCCTAAGTTTTTCCTGCATGGCCTGATCCAGCTCTGCCACCTTCTGCACATGCTCACAATTCAGTTCCACTACAAAGAGAAAGACATCATTTCAGAAACCCTCTAATTTCCATAGTGTTTTATTATTGCCAAGTGCTTGCTCAAGGTCTAAACCTTACAGTAAAGTGCTCTGACATGGTGGTTGTTGTGATTTGGTGTTGGGAAAATGCTGTTATGGCTTGTTCAAATGCTCAAGAAGATGTTATACATTTGTACGTGTAGGTGTTTTGGTTTAGAGCAGATGATGTGTTCGTGCTTGAGCTGATCCACATAGTTCTCAAAAATACCAGACCACGAGTATGCAGAAATGTTTGTGATGGCACCCAGCTCTGTCTGGTAGACAGAGACTGATAACAGGGATTGAATTCTTGAACTGCCACAGCACCAACTTGACTGTATAAATAGGCTCAGTTGAGACTGCCTCTCTGAGCATTGTTTTCATGCAACTGAACTGTATGTATTGAATGCTCCCTTGCTGCAAGTATTAAAATCCTTATATAAGGAAAATCGGCCTCGGTCTTGTGGGGAGAGTTCTTAAAAATCACCCTAACAGTCTACTCAGTCCATTTATGATAAAATAACCCTAACATTTGGTGCTATACAAATAAAACTGAATTGAACTGAACCACATGCCAGTTGCTGCATTTTATGTCATTCAGACCTTTATTTATCTATTTATTCATTTATAGCCTTTATTTGACCAGGTGAAGCATCATTGAGATTGACATCTACTTTTCAAAAGAGACCTGGCCAAGAGGGTCAAATTAATATTTCCATCACTTGTTACAGGCACTGGACATGGAATGGATTTGCAATGGCACATTTCCTCAACCAGTTATAATAACCAAAAGTAATACACATTAAAATAAAATAACGACATCTAAGCAATACTTCATGTTTTGGTCACTAGAGGGCAGCATTCCACTGTGTAATGCCAGTTACTTTCTCTGTTCGAGCAAGGGTGAGGAAGAGCCCAGACTGAAAAACATGTTATATGAGGCTTGTTGAGAGAATCCACACAGAAACATACTGAGAGCTGTAAATATATATTTTGTTCATTCAAGCTGTTAAACATCGCTGAGTTAGGGGTTCCCTGAATTTTGTGGATCTAGAGACCCGTGAATTACTTCATTTTTGTTTTGAATCACTCTGTGAATCTCCATTTTTTTCTTTTGAAGTCTAAGAGTAGTCTTTTAGATGGCTATATAAAATATTTGTTGAGCCAGGAGTCTTATGCAGAACAGGACTGCAGAAAGAAGTGCTGACCCTACTTCTTCATCTTACTCAAAACAACATCATCTTTCTTCTGGAACAAATATATTTTGAGATCTCAGCACACTTTCAACTACCCAGGTAGCAACAAACTTCACACTCAACACTGACTTATTTTTTTTCTAAGGATTCAAAACTGAACTATGGAGGAACTCTAAACACCACAAGGACTTTGTGATTGAAGGAAGGATGGTGACTTTGAAACAAGGGCTGTTAAAACACAACTGTTCTTAGCTTGTTGCAATAAATTGTAATCTTTATATGAAACAATGTTAGCTTTGTGTCATTTGCTCCTGTAGTGGAAGCCTAGAAGAGAATGGCCTTTATACCAAACCATCTCTAAATGTATTTCATTTCTATTGGTAAGTTGTTTGGCAGTATTACACAAATTTTACTGATAACTTAAAGGAAATATCGTCTTTCATGTGGGTGTCAAAAAACATGGTGTCAAGTCACTTTGTTTAACATTATGGTTTGTCTTCACATCTCAAACTATTGTGACAAATATGCAGCAAGAGAGATTGCAAACTGGCAAATACTTTTTAACAGCACTGTAATGATACAGTAATATGGTCACTATTGTGCTTCTAGTGAAGGTACAGCAGGAACTCACCTTCCAGCGCTTCCACCTCCCTCCTGTTACAAGACAAACAAAAGACAAGCTCCCATTAAACATTAGACAAGTTAGCATTAATGATATATTAAACTCAATAAACAGAACATTGGATAAAGGAATGTGTTAAAACATTCAGCCTTCTGTATCTTTTATTTAATTTTATTACTGTAATTAAAAGTTGACAGCATAAAAAGAAAACAGAACGTAAAGTGTAACACCAGATCCATTTTTGCTAATAGATAAATAGACCTCCAAAGGTGTTGTAGTACTATGGGTGGAACCCTGGGTTCTCCTATCACTGATGAGCTGTGCTAACCTGTTTTACCAAATAACATACTTGTGTTGTTTCGAATGTTCTTAATCACAATGAAAATTATATATCACAGTGCCTCCACTTAGTAAGAATGTAACTACTGTTATTCAGTCCAACTAAGAATTGTTTTCTTATTGTTCACAAACCAAGGTTAATTGCTTCCCTCTGGACCTGGACCTCCTGCAGTATGCCTACCGGCCCAACAGAGTCACCTCAAATGCCATCGCGGCTGCCCTCCACTATTTCCTTTCTCACCTGGAAAATGGAGACTTCTACATCAGGATACTCTTCATTGACTACAGCTCTGCCTTCAACACAGTTGTCCCCCACAAACTCACCCACAAACTGTCCTCACTGGGTCTGCACCCCAACCTCTGTGACTGGGTCATGGACTTTCTTACTTGCAGGACCCAGACTGTCAGGATTGGCACTAGGATTTCAGCCAGCATTGTTACAAATACTGGCACCTCACAGAATCAGAATCAGCTTTATTGGCCAGGTGTGATTAATAGCAGTATTAACATCAACAAACAGTGCAAACAATGCAGAAAAAGCAGTATAAACAGACAGTAAACAGGACTCCACTGCCCTCTCCGCAGAGCATTTACCACCGCAGGGTGCGTAGGAAAGCTGCCTCCATCCTCAAGGACCCCGCCCACCCCCAGCATGGACTGTTTGCCTCCCTACCCTCTGGCCGGAGGTTCAGAAGTGTG